CGACATTGTCGAGGTCGACGACGTCGCGTCGGCGGTGCCTGTACCTGTCGGGCGCGGCGTTTGCGCAGCCCGAGACGGCGGCGGCGGCGGCAGCGCATGGTGGTGGTCGAGGCGGTAGTGGCGGCGGCGTGACGCCCAAGGTGTACTACCTGCACGTGCGCGGGTCGGCGTTCCTGTGGCACCAGATCCGGCACATGGTCAGCGTGCTGTTCCTCGTGGGCCAGGGGCTCGAGCGGCCCGAGGTCGTGGACGAGCTGCTCGACGTCGAGCGGCACCCGCGCAAGCCCAACTACGGGCTCGCGCACGAGGTACCGCTCGTGCTGTGGGACTGCATCTTCCCGACGGACCGCAGCGTGCCCGAGGGCCAGCAGGCGGACGGCATGGCGTGGGAGTGGGAGGCGGGCGAGAACAAGTACGGCGCCGGCGGCCTCGTCGACGTCCTGTGGGCCGGGTGGCGCGAGAAGAAGATGGACGAGCTGCTGGCCAACAGGCTGCTCGACCTCGTGTCGCTGCAGGGGTGCCCCGAGGCGAACCCGGCGCAGAACGTCAAGTGGAACGTGCTGCAGAAGGTCTACGCCGGCGGCAACGAGGGGCGGCTCGCCGGCGAGCACCTGCCCCTGATGAAGAGGAAGGTCGTGCCGTCGCCGATGGAGATCAACGACCGCTGGGCGCAGCGCATGGGCTACGGCTCGTCCGAGGAGCTGCTGAAGGAAGAGAACTGGCGCGTCTCCTTGGCCAAGGACAGGCGGGCGAGACGGGAGGGCGGATCGGGGACGGCGACACCAGCGGCGCAAGAGCCGGAGGCATGACACTAGGTGGAAAGCAAAAAAAAGAAAAAAAATAGGAGCGAATACAAAATAGTGGCGGTTCATTCAGATCAATCCATTTGCCGTCTCACGTGTTCAGATGTATGAGCCTTCTTCACCATGCCAGGCACTTGGGTATTTTCCTTTTAATTTCTCTCCTCGACCGTTCCACGTCAATGCTTGCCGCCCTCCTCCCACAAACACCCCCTCACGCCCCGCCAAACCGTCTCGACGATCCTCCGCCGCGGCAAGAGCCCAGAAAATACAACGACAAGCTCGCCCTCCCCTTCGACGACGACAACAAGGTAATGGCGGACCTCGAACCCCCGAAACGCCTCGTTCACGAGGACATCCCTGATCTTCTCGGTGGGTATGAAGCGCGTGGCCGTGCCGGCGAGGTAGCTTCCCGCCGACGACGACGTCTGGATGCCGAGCCCGCGCAGCACGAGCAGGCTCTCCGTCTTGTGGACGCGGCGCAGCGAGGCCCAGAGGAGCACGACGGCCGTCGGGAGCAGCAGGGCCAGCGGGGTCGCGGCAGCGAGGCGGCGCGCCAGGAGGCCGGGGGGCGAGAGGGCGACGTTGTGGAGGGCGCGCAGCAAGGTCGTTGGGGAGAGAAGAGGGGCGTCGAGGGCTTGGGACGGGGCCGGGAGGGCGTATGGCGAGAGGAGGTAGATGGACCAGAGGAGCAGCAGGGAGAAGCCGCCGACGACGAGACGCAGGGGCACGAGGGCCAGGAGAGCGAGGCGCAGCGGGAGAGTCGTTGGTGGTCGGGTCGTGACGGTGAACTCGGCAGTCGTAGGCGAGGGTCTGCGTATGAGCAGGTGGGGCGTTGTCGTGAGCATCGTGCCGCGGGTTCTGTGGTCAGGAACCGCTGCACCAGATCATTGAGGAATGTCGTACATGTAGATGGGAAGGCGTATGTAGCAGAGAATTGGATCGACCTCGGGGATTGTGTTGATGCGCTCGTTGTACCCCTGGCTAAACGGAGCTTTGTCGGGGATTTTCAGCTTATAGTAGTCCGCGACTTCAGTTCTGCGGAGCGATACAAAGTCTCATGGAGGCATGGCGAAGCTGCCCATGATGAAGCAGTTCGAGATGGTGGGCCGTCAGTTGCCAGCTCGAGAGGGAAGCAGAGGTACATGTACCAGTACCAGGCTTCTCCACTTCTCCACCTTGGTGTATGACTAATCAAGTGCCTTGCCCAGTAAATTCACCTATAAACCTACCTTACCTACCTGGATACCTTAAGCATCGTGGCAGCCTGGCTTTGACAAGATGAAAAGCGAAGTAACTCCTATGAAAGGAAGCGCAGCCTTGTATTCGGACAATTTCCAAGCCGCCAGTCATCATAGTCCTGGATCACTAGGTACTGTACCCGAGGCTTGCTGCAAGCACCACTGTTTGATGAAGACCCACTTTCCTGCTGGTGCTGACTAAGCATCTTACCAGCCATGACCTCTGGGTCTATAAACCAGCCCATCTGGCCTTTCTGCCGGCTGTAGTGGCCCAACGGGGAAAGCTCTCGCAATTCTCGTCCGGACTGATCCAAACCCAGTTCGAACCCCCCAGCTGGCGCCCAGCACGAATGCCGCGGTGGCCGTCCACTCGCTTGGGTAACCAGCGATGCTGCGTGCGGCCCTAAGCAATGAAGGTGACACTTGAGGGAGGCTTCACTCTGCAGAGGCACCTTCACCGTCGCATGGCGTGCTGGATTACGATCGCTGGGGGCTTGGGTTAGTCGGACGAGGTGGAGATGACGACTTCTTTTTTGGTCTTCAATTTGCTTTTTGTTCCCCACTGACTTGCTCTTGTCTTTTGACCTGTCTTTCGATACAGCTGCCTGCCTTCTGCTGACCGACCTTCTTTCTGACTCCTTCCAACCCACGCGCGCGCATCTTCACCTCCATCATACATCATCACTCCGTCACCCCGGCATGAGCAAAAGTCGGACCAAAGCAGACATGTTGATTAAGCACCGTATCAATGTTTCCCACACAAAGATGCCGCGAGGCAACGATGTAAATCCCTTTCCCCTTTCCCCTTCCCCTACGGCCTTTTGAATTTTGCCCTTTTCTCCTCCCTCTTCCCCTCCCCCTCTTCACCTTGGTCATATCAGTCATGAAGTGAACGAGCACAAAAGTCCATTCCGTCGTCTCCGAGCACAACGCGTGCCGCGAGAGCCACATCAAGGAAAGTAGGAAAAGTTGATACAGCCGCACTGCTGGCGCCGCACACACACACAGGCCCCCCTACCCCGCCAACTATCCTAGCGCCCTGTCCTGGGTCTGTGTCTTCGTCTGCCGCACTGAAAAGGAATGCTGTACTGCCATGAATATCCCTGGCTCAGCAACTGTCTAGGCTGGGCGAGCTTGTGCCGCACGCCGAAGCGAAGGCTGGTATCGAAGAAATGCCTTGGACGCCAATCGCCATGCAAATGAATCGAAGTCGTTTATCGTTTGTGTTTCAAAGTCTCAAGGAAGTCTGAAGGAAGCAAATAAAGGAAATGCGCGCCTGTGAAAAGACGGCCACTCAGATCATCTCGCTTTCGTGTAGCCCAGTCGGTAGACCCTGCTGGTCGGAAATGATGGGGGACCGTAGCAGGTCATGTTGGCCGTACCCTCCAGGCATCGGCACGCTCTCGTACGGAGCGATTGTCTGACCACCGTCGAGTCCAGGTGACCGGATGCGCACCATGCTCGAGTCTTTTCGCGGACGGCTTGCCGACCGGAATCGCTCCGTCGCCTTTGTGAACCGCGTCGAAATGCTGCTGTCCTTGTCTCGGGACTCTCTTTCACGCTCCGTGAAGCTGCGTCCGCGAGAGTGGTGCCCCTTGCCCGAAGGCACCGGAGGCGCTGCCAGAACAGGAACGCATGTGTCCACAAGCGTGGCCACAGGCGCCTGCTGCTCGTCGTCGTCCACAACGATCTCAATCATACCCGTTCCAAGTGCTCCAGCGCCGGGTTGCATAAAGTGCGGCAACGGTGCCGGGGGTGGCGGGGGAGGCATTGCCAGGTGTTGTAGCTCTTTGAGCATGGGGGGTGGTGGTGGCGGTGGCGGCATATTGTCATCGTGGGATGCCCTGCGATACTCGTTCATGCTTCTATCGCCCAGCATCTCGTCAATGCCCCGAATTTCGCCAGTGGATCCCTTCAGCATCGAGTGGCCTCGGGAGTGCGTTCGTCCATGGCTTTTGCCAGCCGGCGGTGGCATATCTGACCTGCGTCGACCCAAAGGCTCATCTGGGATGGGTGCTGACATACTGCGGGGAATCATTGGCCTGGTGGGAGGCTGGTAGACCGTCGACGGCAGGAGAGTGAGCGGCTCTGCCTCCGGCTGTGCAGACTCTACCTTGGCGTACGGCTCACTTGGTGACGCGGTAGGCGAGTGTCGCTGAGCGAATGTCGCCGGAATGGGCGGCATTTCAGGCGGCGTTGCCTTTTCAGAGCCGATGATGAGACGCATGGCTTTTGGAGTTGCTGGGAGGCCAATGTGCACACTCTGACTGCTGCGGGCATACATGCTTCGAGTGGGGTCGGCCGTCTTGGAACGCGGAGAACTTTCCGTCTGAGTCGAGGAAGGAGCTTCGACGATTTGCGACAGAGCCGGAGAGATGTCGTTGGGATGGGGGATCAGAGGCGCCAACGGCCGCTTCGCGAGCGACTTGCGGCGCTCCTCGAGCTCACGGGCGGCCTGTTCCTTTTTGCGCTGCCTCTCGTCCTTCATCGCCTTGAGGTCGCCAGCGTGCTCAGTGGAAGGCGCGGCCCGGACCATGACAGTCTGCTTGGGGTGCTCGGGTGACGCCGTCGCAGGGCGGCGGCGACTCTCGGATGGCTCTTGCCTAGCAAGGTCTGGAGATCTAGGTTCAATCTGACTGGCGCTACGGTTATGGCGCAGGCGGAACTTTTCCTGCGACTCAACGGCCTTCCGGTAATCTTCTTCATCCTCAGAGCCATGGTAATGAATGGCCCCCGCAGACATGGGAACGGGTGAGGACGGCGACCTAATTGCAGAACCTTCACGGCCCTTGCTGCGACCTCGCAGCTCCAGCGCAGGAGGTCGTTGACGAGCCTCTGGACTCGTGCGACGGGTTTGGCTGCCGCGACTGGAAGTCCTGCTCTTCGGTTGCCGGCTGCGACTGCTCTGCCGGGATTTGCTGCTCTTTCTTGCGGTGACGGGATCTTCGCCCATCCTGTCTAGCATCTTGGGGGTGCTCAGGTTGATGAGATCCTCAGGCGACATTGGAATAGGTGATGTTGGTGACCGCTTGGCCTTAGGCCATTTGCGGCTCGCGGATCGGCCGCGATCCCCAGAGCGTTCCCGCGATGCGCCCTTACGAGTACGCGAGCGGCTGCTATCACGCTCGCCTCGTCCGCGAGACTCTTGACGGCCTTCGCGGCTGCTGTGGCGGCTAGGCTGCTTCTTGCCATACAACTGAGCAGTGTCGAGGCTGTGGATGTAATCCTGGCGGGTAGCACCAGTAGTGTTGCTGCGGTGGCTCCTGCCAGTGCTAGACTGAGACGTGATGGAGCTTGCCACAGAGCCTGGGCCACGGCGCCGCGATGGCCAGTGGAACCGAGTCGATGATGTTACCGATTGGTCAGGGGACGTGACTTCTCCGATCATCGGGTTCTCCATGGGCTGCAGCTGCAGCTGAATACCTTTGGGGATGCGGTCGCGAGAACCGTTTCGTCGATTCACGTTGCCTTCCATCTTGACGGTCACAAGAGCGTCTGGAGATGGCGGTGGCTGATCTCTAGTTCGCATCCTTCGCGGTGGGTTCGGGTAATCACGCATCATCATTGGGCTAGCGGTCGCGGCGCGCTGAAGTGAGAGGCCAGCAGCCAACGTTTCTTGGTCAGAAGACGACATTCGCGTGTGTGCAGCTCGGCGAGCTTCGTTGGGGTCGACGGGAGTGGCGGACGTCTCACTCCGCTTCAGCTCACGAGGTAAATCCGAAGGGATCTCGCCGATAGATGGAAGTCGTCTGCCGACCAAAATGCTGACGTGTTTGACCTAGCCGAGTTGGGCGTGTTAAACTGACTCCTGTTGGATGGGCGGATGAACGCTGTGGTAACATCAAAGCCTCCAGGGGAAACAGCTGACTCGGCAATAGGGGTCACGCCAGCAGCGATGGGAGTCTGTCCGCCGTCTTGCTGCGAGAAGAACTTCGACTTGGCTCCCCCCTGGTCGCCGAACGATGTGATGAGTTTGAGGGCTGATGTTTTCGCAATGCTACGCTGCGGTCCGCGGGTGATCCCAGGGGGCGAGAGCGGGGGCGAGAGAATCTCTGGGATGCTCGGGTTCACCGCGGCATTGATGCTTTGGAAGTTGACCTGGGCAGCCGAGGGTGAGGTCCATGGTTCTGAAGACTCCTGGCCAGTGCAGGCAAAGCTGGAAATATTTGTCAGTACAAGAGTCAGATCTGACGTCGGCACAAAGGTCTTACCATCTCACTGCGAGCTGAGTTTGCCCGTGCATCACAGCCCATTCTCCCCACTTTTTGATTAGAGCTGCTTGGCGCTCCCAGACTGCCGGGTAGAACAAGCACATCAGAATCAAAGCTTCCATGTAGCGCTTATGCGAGACATAGATCTCAATGGCATCATTGTGATCACCCATGCCAATGAGAATGGTGGCGGCAGCATGAATATCGCCCGTCTCGAGCAGTCGCTGGACGTAAGCCAGGCCGAGCTTATGTTGAGCCTGTTGCGTGCCTTTGCCCGCAATACCGCTCAGCGCCAAAAGCATCCAGTCAGACGAGGTCATGTTTTCGGAGTTGGCGGCCAAGATGTCAGGGTCAATGTCGCCTAGCCATTTGGACAGGAGGATCCGGCTGGCCGAGCCGGCGGGGTGCCGACTCAGCTCATCGCGGACTAGATCATCCATCTCCCTCTGCCAGCCGAAGATGGTGCTAAGCATCTGGCGACGCAGGTCATCGTTCGTCAGGCGACTAGACTCGGCAGCCACATTTTTGTAAGGAATGTCGCTCAGGCGGCTGCGAGTATACTGGAAGAGATCGTGAACCTTGGAGTCTTCTGGGCTCCGCAAAACTTCGTGGCGCAGACGCGACGGCTTTCTGCGAGACCTAGTCGAAGACAGTGACGTGCCACTCAAGCTACTGGTCGAGTAAACGTCTCTTTCCCGTTCCCTGTAGACGGGAGCCTGTGAAGAGCGGAGAGATGAGGCACCAGACGAAATGTAAGTGTTCTCGGTTAGGGGACGAGACAGTACTGAAGATGGGTATCTACCGGGTGTTGCAGAGCCCGCAGACGATCTTGAGAGAGACGAGAGTCCGCTGCGGCTTGAGACAGGGCTGGCAGTGTCGTAGCGGTCGGCGGCATTGGAGGGGGCGGGCTCGGCTACGCTCTGGCGGACTATGCGGCCGAACGGCGAAAGGTGGTCATCATCACTCTCTGAGACCCCCTCGATAGATGCCGACGTGGCGTCCGAGTCCGTGGCAATCGTGGTAGCGCTTCGAGCCGACTGGTCAGCCTGTTCCTCAATAGACACAGGTGGCGACGGCGGCAATAGGTTGGCCGGGTGCTGGACATTGGCGACAATGATCGACGGGACGTTAAGGTCAAACTGTTGCACCGTGTTGTTTGCGCCGAGAGTAAAGAGGCTTGCGCCAGGACCATAGACAGCAAGGCCCCGTACAATATCCAGGGTGGGGATTCTATCATAAGTGACGTGTTTTGTCCTGACATCCCATGAGGAAGTCTCCCTATAGTGTGAAGAGTGATTAGCGTCATGCACTTAGGCGCGCGGCTGTGGTCGCAGTGGCGATAAGGGATCTTACGAGTCCGAGTATTGGATGATGCGACCGTTTTTTGACCACGCCATCCAGTTGGGACCGGTGATTTGGTTTTCAGTTCGCCTCAATATCCTGACCACCTTGGCTGGGTCGTCACTATTGTACGACTTTGAGACGCTCCAGACCCGAAGATCACCGTCATGGGTCTGGACAGCCAGCATGTCCGACTTTTGCCGGGATGAAGAAGCGTGCCAGTTCAAGGTGACAATGGGCGAAGGCGCTCTTGAGGTGGTAAGATTGTGAAGAATTGTGAATCGTGGCTGGAGAGTGGCTATCAACAGCGAGCCGTTTTGGTAGCTGGAGTCAGATTAGCAGCGTGCGCTTGGAGGCGTCCGAGCCATTCAGGCACTCACCCAATAGCAAATGTCCTGCAATCAGCCGCTGGAGCTAGAGAAGTGACAGCAATCTGATCGATGGTTCTCGCAGAGATATGCTCTGATGTTGTGGGTTCGAATAGGATGATGTTGCCTTGGGTATTGCCTACAACATTGTCAATCGCAAGATCTTCAGGAGCAGGAAGCGGGGATGAACGACGTACCGAACGCAACATTGCCGTTACGCATCCAAGCGGCTGTGGTCAAGTGCTCATACGAGGCAAATCGAGCTACTTCGTCGCCGGTCATGAGGTCCCAGACAATGGCTGTCTGTCCGGCATCATAACTCACAACCAGTCGTCCAGCGCCCATTTCACTTTGGTTATCCACGGCGAGCAACTGAACTTCGTCTGAATGCCGAGAAAACCTCCTCTCAATCGTGAGGGTATCATGGTGGGCGCATACGACTGAAGACCCTTGCGCATAAAGAAACATGGAGGCTGTAGCGGCGCATGGCTCGAAAAACCGCTGAATATTTTGGGGTGACATGGTGAAATCTTGCATCTGTGTGCCTCGACCCCTCGACGACCTTCCAGAGCTGGCCGTGGCAGTGTGGTGCCTGGCAGAGATGGGGGCGGACATGACGGGCCTGATATTCTTTCGAAATCTCGATCTGCACGCGCAGTTAGCCGGCGAGTTGCAGGGTGGAAGATTGAATCCCAGGGGAGCAGGGCCTGCGAGCGGTCTACCTCTTCCTGTGCACTCCCAGAGAACTTTGGATAGTGACGGGGTAGAAGAGGTCGCCGCGGTGAGCTTTGTGGGACTGATCACGTACCAATCCGCAGTCGATCAAGAGCCCGGCCGGCTGATTTGTGATGAAGTAGGAAACCAACAGGACGTTGGCTACACCTTTTCTTCTTGGACCATCACGTGGAACGCCGCAATGTCCGTTCCCGGACCAAATAACCCTCCACGTTTCGGCAGACCAGATTGACGGGACTTGTTCTTGTGCAGGTCCAAGTTCGAATGGCGGTGGGATCGGTTGCTTCTAGCCGTGGCTACTGCTGTTGTAACCCGCGATGGCTGCAAGCGCTTTCCTCAACCTGGACGAGCTGGTTCGTTTTGCTTGTAACGGGTCGATGAGGTCTTGTATAAGGCAAGTGAGACACAAGGCCAAGAGGCGTCTGCAAGAAAGCCCTCGTGGGGAACGATGGTGTTGGCGCAAGATGTTGCACGTTTCGCCGGGTTACACAGAGGCGGGCGACGAGGCGAAGGGCGAGGATGCTGGTGCGGGTGCAGGCGCGGGGAGCAGGAGCGGGGAGCAGGAGCGGATGAGCTTGTAGCACTGGGTACCAACGGTTTGCGGATCGACGCTCGTTTTACGAGTCGATGTTCGCGTCGCGATGCACAAAAGGCAGAACAAGATGGATGAGCAAGACGAGAGTACGTTTGAGTCGAGTCGCAATGTGCAGGACGGAAAGATGGGCGAAGACGGAGATGGAGACGGAGCGAAAGGAAGGGGAGGACTTTCTTGTGGTGGCACTGACAGCAGCAGCAGCAGCACCAGGAGCAGCACCAGGAGCAGCACCAGGTTTGGCGCGTGAAGGAGGGTCCCGGGTGATGCTGGGGTCTTGGGGCCTGGGGTGTGATGGAGCCGAATAGGAGCAGAGTCACAGTTTGGCGGCTAAGGTGGTCCAGGACGGCTTGTCAGTGGACGGCAGCGCAGAGGGCCATAAAATTAGAGCTTTGGCAAGTGGTCGAAGGGTTGAGGAGGGTTGGCGAGATCTGGGGCGGATACGGACCGGCTCATCTGTTTGGGAGCCAAGACGATGCAGACAGGGCCAGGGGACCAGGGTGACCAGGGTACGAGCATGTTAGGCGTCCAGGGACTAGACTACGAGCAAGCCACTTGCATGCCGAAGAGGGATCGGATTGGGGAGAGACGGCATGGCAGGGCAGTCTGAAGGAGTCGGCCAACGGTGCGGAGAGGTACCACGCTCACCACACTGCCGCCATGGTCATGGCGGTATGCTCTCAGTCAGTACTTGTTGGTGTTGGCATGCCATTTTTAGCCGCAGGAACTGCACTGACTGTGCGCTGCTTGGGCTGCGTGCGTTGCAAGTGCCTCTCCAACCCTCGCGGCCCTGGTCGCTCTTGTCCCTGTGTGGCATGGCTTGGTCGAGGCCGGCCGCCATCCGGCCTAGTGTGGTGATAGTCGACGGTCGAGAATTGCTCGATTCATGATATCCAAGCGTCTGCCATGACCATGAAGGAGACGTCTCTGCGCCCGCTTTCTCGTCCATCACTTGACCAGGTTCAAGTGGAGGAGGCGGAGTGGTCCTCCGTCCAAGGGAAATCCAGGACATCTTCGAGCACGAGGCACGAGGCGGTACCTTACAGATGCAGTGCCAGTAACCTGCTGTGTTCTGATGCCCACGCCATACAAATGGTCAGGCCTGGAGAGTGTCTGGCGTAACGAGGGCTGCTGTGTGGTGTCTAGGTTCTAGTCGGAATCCATGTCCATATCCATAGCGCGAGCCACAGCGTGTGCAGGAGGCGGTTCCATCAGTAGACCGAGAGACGGGTGATGCGGGATTCCAGTAACGGCGCCGGGGGAAGGGGGGGAGCAGCGAAAGAACTGAGGTGGTTGGGCTGTCGTCTCGAGGCGTGATAGACTTACAGAGATGAAGTGATGAAGGAAAAGAAGAGACGTCGTCCAGTGTCGGGAGGAGGGGGGGCAGGGGCTCGGTGGGGCGAGTGGGGCAGCAACACCACGGCAAGGGCAAGGGTTGGAGCTCTACGCGCCGAGCTGGGGTGTGATGGCGCCTACAGTTTCTTGCAGCCAGCCAATTGAGGATCGCAAGTGCCTCTTCGATTCGATGCGGGTGCCTCACCACGGCAGGACCTGACTGGTTGCTCGGTGCTAGCTTCCCGTCAACGGCCCACTCTCCAGAGCCCTGAGGTGCTGGATACTCTTGCTTTGACTGACTGTGACTAGCCTTGGTAGGAGCTCCCGAGAGCATCATTCCAGGTACAAGCTCCTGTACTCTGCATCTCCCCCTCTCCTTCCTCGCACCTTGGACGACGACAACGACGGCAATAACAGCCCTTCTGCCACATTCCCCTCTTTGCTCCTGAGTCTGTGCTCCTCGTCACTCGCCAGCTGGTACATGGTATCCATCAAGATCCCAAGTGTGACGGTTCCCATCAACAAAGCCAACGTGACGAGATGGGCCGCCCTGTCTCGAGCTTCAGTACATCGTCGTCCATATTCGGGTAAGTAGGCTTGGTAAGGTAGGTACATACATGGTAACCACTCACTCACTTCTCTGGGCTCTTCCGCCACCTCGCCTCGTGGCATGACGGCCTGAGCCACCCTCCATTGCGTCTCACCATTTCCACGGCCATGACCATCGCAATCATCACATCTCTCGCTACGACCGACTAGGGAACAACTAGACAACACGACCCTCAACAATCACAACCTTCACCATCTCCATCTCGCGCTGCCCTGCACCTCACCCTCCACCACCACCCCACATCGGCCACGCGGGGACTAGCTCGGACGACCCGCGGTCGCAGACACCACACACTCTCGGAGCCACACCCATGATGCAGCCTCGCGCTTGTTGGGTCGTCAACAACAGTCCTTTTTTTTTTCTTTGTTCGACGGGCGATGCATATGCGACCAAATTATGCCATGTACTGCACTCCCACCCGGACCCACGCCTGGTGCATCAGATAAACTCATGTGTCTCTGGGGGCCGAATCCTCTTGACTGATGAGCCAACGGTAGTACTCGACATGGCCTTTGCAGCTGCCGGCCGACATGTACTGTATCTCGTGGCGCCGCAGCACCCCCTTCGCAGCGCCATATCCAGTTGGCATACTCTCTATTCTCGCCCCTGTTCCTCAGGTACCTTGTCTGTTGATACCGCCGACACCACTGAACGACCCCTGAAAATTGGACCATGCGCCTGGGTACACACTACCTTACCTACCTACCCTCCAGGACCAGACTTCGCTGGCAGTGCAGGATATTGCACTCGGCATGTAACCTTCCCAGCCCAGCTTCCATTCGCATGACGAGCACTCATATTACCATGCACTGAGGCACGCAGTGTGGTTGCTTCCTTGGGGCCCAACTTTGACCATCATGCCGCGACGTTCTGTTCGGTTCCATGTCTTCGACACGACAAGTGACTCGTTCAATTGAGTTTGTGTTTGCTTCGTTCAACTGGCTTTGAACATCGGCCCAATACGCACCCTGGTAGCCACCCATGGTCAGATATCCCATTGACAGGATAGCAAGCCATCTCCTGGTCAGTCAGTTAACCGTCCCATCTGCAAGCACTTTAGAAAACCCCGCCAGGTCTCAACGCCAGCGACGCGGCCACGACCATTTGCAGACCATGCTCGACCTATTGTGTCACGCTGTATCACATATTGATGTCCTTGTGGCTTCGCTAAACGAGGCCGAGCACACTTCACGGCCCCCGCATTGTTGTCCCATCCGCTATCGTCTGCGCAACAAATTCTCACAGCGTTGAGATGATGCACACCACCGGCTTCTCTGAAACTCTGCGCAGTGACGTGCCCGAGAGCAGCAGTGAACTCGGACGGCGGACCAATCAACCATGGCAGCCTTCCGTAACCTTTGAAGGCCCTTTTCTGGCGGGCGATCCCACACACTCTACGATGTCTGTCTGTGGTCCCACAGTGAGCCTCGCTCGAGTGACACTCTGAGGATTCGTTCCCGGCCTGCCAGTATCATCCCCTGCCGCTTCACTATCACATTAATGTGCCGACGGTATATCATGTGCCAGAAGGACGCATTCCCAAGACAGAGCTGGCTGGCGGATTGACCTTCGTGTCCACCGTCAACTTCCAGGTTGTCAATGCCAGCTCGTTCCCATCTTGGCGAGCGAGCTCCCCACGTTGCACGAGGCAAAGCCAATGCCTTTCCATCGTGTCATTTCGAACAACAAGCCCCTACAATGACATCCAAGTCACCTGTCCTCTTCCCACAAACTTTCCGTCTCTTGTCTCATCTATCGACGAAGCTAGCTTGCCTCCCTATGCCCAGGCCCAGCGTGGCAGGAACCGTGGAACCGCATAAGCTCGTCGACTAGGTACCTAGCTGGGCGGGAAGCCCGCCATCAGGTCCGATCTGCCGCTGCCCCATGTCAGTTCCCGGGGTCTGTGCTTACCTCCGGGTGCACGACATGATCGGCCGACAAGAAGCCTGGGAGATGTAAAAGATTTGCAGACCGGGCTTCGTCTGTCTTCGTGTTAGGCCGAAGTCAGTGCTATAGACCAGCCTTGCAGTCGGTAGCTCGTTCAGCTGGCAATGTTGACAAAGCCCTGGCGATCCTGTGAGTTCATTCAAACAGCCCGATTTTCGCCAGGATCGGAATGTGATGTCCACTCCACCAAGGGTGGTGCGGGATGTGCTGGGCAGACATGCTAATGCTCGCGGGAGCAGCGCCTCGAAGCTGACGGGCTTGCCGGGGGGTAAAGTCAGGCCAGGGTCGCGCCCCTCATCACATCCCATTTCGTACTGAATCACAATATCACCCGCCTTGCAGCCCGTTTTCCATCTTATGAGGCTGGCTATCGTGTGTGTATGGCGCACGGCAACC